GTGCACGATCCAGGTCGTCCAGAACATGAGAATGTTTTATATTAAGCACTTTGAGCAAATTCATAAGTGTATTAACGTGGCTCGTCGTGTCCGATGCTGCGACGGACGCGAGTGCTGTTTAATGTGTTCCAGACATGTTTTCTTCAGCACAGAAATGACATGTTCACCTTTATATCCTCATCTATAAATGTAAGAAAATCACACCAGTATTTACAGTTTACATAAAGTCTCGTCCTGACAGCCAGCGAGTCTCCGTTAAACTTCACTGAACGAGCGAGAGGCCGAGCATGCGCGTCAATCAGACAGCGTGCGATAGAAAGGAAGCGTAATAACTCTGACTAAAATATTCATTCTGATCTAATGTGTTGTTTGATGCTGTGTTTAGAGACAAAAGTAAGTGTGTGTTTATGAGAGCAGTAACTGTACTGCGGTATGGTATAACGTGTCATTGTGTATAAATGTAAGAAGTGTGGTACAGTTACAGAATAAAGGAACATGTGACTGTGTTCAGATCAGTGAATGTGTGTCACTGCAGAACATTCAACCTCTTACCAGTTAGTTTAAACACTCAGTCTGTGCTTTTGCTTTTCTTTTTATACCATTTTAATCTACTGATTTAACTTCTGCTTTAAAGCTTGTGGACAATCAGATGTTGTTGTTTTCTCTTTTATTTTTCAAAATATAATGTTAATAATTTTTTTTTTAATCCTTTGCACAATGTATAACATAGCCCACATAGATACATCACATTAATACCCTTTTCATAACCTTCACTTTGCACAATCTTTGAAGGACAACATTGGGAAGAATGTGAAATGTTTGTTTTTTGTTTTGTTTTTTAAATACAGAAAATAAAAATTGCCCTTTCAATCCACCTAATCAATGAATCGAAGAAATAATCACGTCAGATGAATCGTTCGAGCCCTAGTTCTGTTTGCTCCAAAATTGAACCCAGTACTCCCCTTTTAAACTTACAAACACCGTTTCTTGTTCCTTTCTGGCCTACAGAGAAGCGGTCTGTCGTTTTCAAGCTCATATCAGATTGCAGAGTGGCAGAGAAACAGTGTTTAGCAATAAATCACCTGAAACGGTCTTGTTAAGACCTCACTTTAAGAGTTTGAAGGGCTAGCTACTAATAAATGCTGCCCACATGTTGCCCACTAGCCAGAAGGATGAGAGGGGACTGCTTCACTGGCAATATCTCTGAGTTTGTGATGCTGTGGCAGTTTTAATAAAAGATATTATTGTTAACTCAGTGTGGTCCTGGAACCCACAGTGGCATAATATTAAGGTGTGGTGGATGGCTCTCTAGGAGCATGCTAGCGTGATGGTTTAACTATACCTAATGTATTCATCATGCACACAGGTTTACCACATGGATACATTCCTAAGAGATAGATTGGTCTCTTACTTTCTCACACACAGACACATTTGTACACACTGTAGGGTCAAATTGACTGTTTTTTTTTTTGGGGGGGGGTAGTATAAATATACAGAGAAAGAGCTAGCTGCAATGAACACTAATAGCTTGTGTCACTCTCCTCATAAAGAGGCATTTCTTCAATTCGTCTAGAACTGTTATTGCGCAGCGATGGGCACTTGTGAAAATGTTATGGTAATGTAGGAGCAGATTAGGTGTCATATTGGATGGGTGGGGGTTCACCAGCACCAGTGCTCATTGAGACATTAGGAGCTGAAATAGGAACTAAAAATTTGATCGGAACTATGGAGCCCTGCTTCTCTCTCTCTCTCTCTCTCTCTCTCTCTCTCTCTCTCCTTTGCCCCCCTCAGTGCATGGCTGTAAGCCAAACAGTGGAGGTATGGGCTCAGAAAGCTCTCTCCATCCCACCAACTTGTTCTGACCACTCCCGGCCAAAGAGAAAAAAAAAATAAAAATAAAAAAAAGGAGCCAGACTATCAGACTCCAGGAGCATAAGACCACTCCTGAATGAAAGAAGCCTTCTTTTCCAACATGACTAAGGTAAGGAGAGGGACTGTGACCACCCTGAACCACTGCCGCTACCCTCCCTTTGGAAACACATAAACACATATCCACAGGACACACGTATGAGCATATCCATAACTGTGAATGCATAGAACGCACCTGTCAAATGAATCCGATTAGCAGTATGGATAAACATCACAGCCGAGAACATGAGAATATCTTTCCTTGTACAACGACCAAGACCTTGGGAGCGGAGCTAAAACTAACTGTCCGTTGAAATTCGAACACACCAGATATGTAGATATGTAGGTGTGGGCTTATTTCATTAACTGAAGTCATACCAGGTAAACTTTATTTTTCATCCCCCATTAACCATAGCTGTCAGAAAACAGATTTATATAAACTTACAAAAAGGCCATAAAAATGAGCATGAAGGAGGAGACAAGATTCCAAACCCTCAAACAACTCATAAATATATGTTACAAAAGTACACAAGAGGTCCTCTGATTATAGAAAGGAAAAGATCTATGAGGCATCAGGATCAGAGACGTGTTCTTTGCATGCCTCTTGACAAATCTGTTGTAAGCTGAAGTATGCGACTAACTGTGATGATTACAAACAGGCTCCAACATCAGTGCCCAACATCAGTGCCCGACATCCTCCAACATCAGTGCCCGACCTCACTAATGCGCTTCTGGCTGAATGGGCAAAACCCCACAGCCACACTCCAGAATCTAGTGGAAAGCCTTCCCAGAAGAGTGGCGCTTATTGTAACAGCAAAGCGGGACTAAATCTGGAATGGGATGTTCAGTAAGCACATATGAGTGTTATGGTTAGGTGTCCACAAACCTTCGGTAGTATAGTATCACCCTGCAGCTCTCACCAGGTTTTCTCACTGATGCTAAGCAGGTTTGAGCCTGGCCAGTGCCTGGATGGGATCCCTACTGAGAAATGTCTCCCATTGTCCCTTATTAATCATGGCCCCATAATAATCTCTATCCCAGAATTGGCTCTCCTCTTCTCTCCACTAATACCTGGTGTGTGATGGGTGTTCTGGCGCACTATGGCTGCAGTCGCATCATCCTTCAACAGTCTGAACAATTCCGAATGTTCCGAAACACACACGTTATCTCCTACCTACTTTTAATAAATGATAAAGTTGTGATGAACTTCTTGACCCCAGTGCAATAAAAGATCGTGTTCAGTTTTGCAGTTTAGTTTGCCAGCTTCTTAAGCTAAACTATCAGACATGGAAAGCAATAAAGGAAGAAAAACAGCAAAGTCAAACACTTTATTGGACGGATTGAGGAGTGTTGCTCTGTGCATGAAACCCAATTCCCTTTTCAGGGTAATTAAATATAAACTTGGGTTTCAGAAAGGGATTGCAAATCAGACAGGAGGAAAAGAACATATTAGTTCTTAATTGTTTTGTGTTCAGGTCAGGTAATTGTGATATTTTTTGATCCAGACTCTAATCAGTTCAGGGTCTTATTATGCTTGGACTGGCAAATGTTGTGTCTTGCTTATCATAACTGGCTATAGACTGACGGAGTCACGGCACAAGGGTCTTTATAAATCTAGCTCTGGCTGTACCTCGCAGACTTTAACCAGTGATGGACAGTCAAAACTGAGCCAATTGCAGGAGGTGGAAAGAAATGAAATTGAACATCAATACGCGAACATAACTTTTTAAATAAACATTTGTACTCGGCTAACTCTCTTGGCAGAATGCTTTCTGGTAACCTGTCTCTACTGGGAGGATTTAATATGAAATGCTCATGAAAGGCTGGACACATTAGTGGTGAGGACTACTGGCAAGATGTGACATGAGTAATGTACTCTGTTTGTTTAAAGCTAGGCAAAGCTGGCATTTTCACGGGTTGTTACTTATTTTAAAGCTGCTCGGTTTTGTCGAAGTCGTGTCTGAAGCGCTCAGGTTTTTTGTCAGAGGGAGAAAACGTGAGCATGGAATAAGTGCCCATTCCTAGCCACCACTGACCCGCCCTTAACCACGGTCAATCTAATTCAAGTAAGGGATCAGTCTCTCTCAAACATGGAAAATGAATGGATACTAATATCTAGGGCTCTGCAGGGTAGCCGATTTGTTACTTGATGGACGTCCGTCCGAGCCTGATGTCCTCAGCCCGACTCTATTGCTTGCCAGTTTAAACAAATGATGATCTTTCTTTACACAGTAAGGTATCTCTAGCTCCAAGAATGTTACAATCAAAACATCATGTTCTTCAATCTCAGCCTGGGCATTTCCCTGCGAATGAGACCTTGCTCCACTCATTAGCTAATTGCCTTGCTCTTCTTGGGTTCAATTACAGTGGAGAGTGAAACAAGCTGTCGAACATTCCCTCTGCTTGTAATTACATTAAAACCTAAGATCAGTTATAAGAGATGCAGTGGATGGAAAAGACACATGAGCAGTTTCTCACCTCTAGGTGGATTCTAATTTGTGAAGGGCTTGACTGTAGTTTGAGAACTAGGTTCAGCACTCTGAACTTTTTGCTGGATGTTTTCCAGAGTCATTACCACTAATCAAATAATGATAAAAAATACAGCTCAATCCTAAAAAAAAAAGTGGATCCAACTAACAATTTGTAAAGTGAAAAGAGGTTAACATGATCGCTGGTGTTAAATTTCTGTTTAAAAAGTAATAAGAAAAATTTGGGGCCTCCTGAACCTATGAAAAATGACTTTTCATCTTGAGCTCAAGCCCACAAAAGACTTGGAATGGCTCATGCAGCAATTTCATGTAAAGTTCATTTGAAATTGAATTCAATACAACAAGGGTAGGTTAGCGACTTCAACTGTCATTGACGCATTGACTGTATAACACTTTGGCTACTTGGCTCTGTTCAGCTAAACGAAAACGCCATTGTTTTTATTTCCAGCTGCACCCAACACTTTTTCTGAAAGTTGTCATCTTCGTTCACTGCCACTAGATTAAGACTAACCCACCGATTTCAGCCTGGTTTATACCTGGTTAAAGGCTGGTTTATACTTCCCGTGTGTGTGCGGGAATAGCGGCAACGAGAACAGCAATGGGGCACACGGTGGTTTAGTGGTTAGCATGTTTGCCTCAAACCTCCAGTGTCCGAGGTTCGATTCCCGCCGGGGCCATGTGTGTGTGGTGTTTGCATTTTCTCCCCGTGCTGCGGAGGTTTCTTCTGTACCAAAAGACATGCATGGTAGGTTGATTGGTAAATTGTCCATAGTGTATGTGATTGTGCCCTGCGATGGACTGGCACCCTGTCAAGGGTGTATCCCGCCTTGTGCCCGATGCTTCCTGGGATTGGCTCCAGGTTCCCCGCGACTGAAGAAGGAATAATCGGTTGTAGGTGGATGGATGGAGAACAGCATTGTTCACCCAACTGTTTGCATACTATATATATGTGTGGAGGATTAAAAGTTACAAAGAGACAAAACACCCCCCCCCCCATCCATCAGGTTTCCAAGTCGAACTGTAAAATGTTTAGCAACTTCATGAATTTCATACATAGCAACAAATAAACAAACTGACGAGCTTTTTTTTAAAGACATTCTGCTATTATCACGGTTGTTGTCATGAGCTGCATCTCAAATATAATGTAATCCAATTAAACCTCTTATTAGTAAATGTTGTGGAAATGTCCAAACTAAAATGTCAACAATATAATGATCAAGTGATTTGCAAACATCCCTATATACACAGGGAGAAAATACACTACTCAAGTGACATTTAAGATCTTCTTCAGGGTCAGAATAACACAAGACTAATGTGCTAAAACAGGCACCGTCCACGCAGCTGTACTCCCTTCACGCGCTCCAACTTTTGACTGGATGTCTTCCAGTAAAGTCTAATAAGGTTAACCCTCCTCCACACATGACATACAAATGGATTGTAAATCCAGAGACAATAAAACACTGGATTTGAGTTGATTTTGATCCATATTTGGGGTCATTATGTTGTTGAAAGGTCAACCTTCAGTCAAGTATTAACCTGCATTCACTGGCAACCATATTTTGCATTAAAATACTAGTTAGCAGAATTCACAATGCCACCAATCTTCACGAGGCCCTGGACTACAAGCCGCAAACCAGCCCCAAGGATTGAATGATCCCTCACCATATTTTACAGTGGGTTTGGGGGTGTTTCCTCTCTGGCATAAGACATTTTTATCAGCCTGACTGTGTATGATGGTATTTTTAGCTGCTTGTGTATTTCACATTCATCACCTGCCTATAAACAGAAACCATCTGTAACTTTTTTTAATGTTGAAATCCCTTTGTTTTTTTTTGTCATGGTCTTGGATAATAAGGTGATTTTATATGTATGTAACCTTATATTTATACCAAACGCAACAATAGTGTTCCTGACAACTAAGATTAAGAGGAAAAAAGGCTTAATGAGAATGATTTTTGCTACAGGAACTATACGTAGTTTGTCCAGTTGTTTGGTTGAAAAAGTCAGCCATTTTTAATGTTCTATTTTTGTTTCATTTTGAAAAACATGTACGCTGTACAAACCGCTCAAATTTAGGTCATGCACCCTTCTAAACCTGATCAGCAGACCAAACAGAGTGATCTCGAGCTTTGCTGCAGTGAAAACCTGGTAGTATGAAGAGAAACTGGGCATGACTGGAGATCTTGCACTCACTTAAGATGGTCCAGGTGCTGCTGACTGCAGTGGAAAGGTCTTGCTTTATACACACACACACACACACACACACACACACACACAAAACACGCTTTCTGTGTGGGCTAAAGGAGTAGTTTTTCCAAAAAAATAAAAAATAATTTACACAAGCATCTTTTCACCCCACATGTAGACCATCAATGAAGATATGTTTGGTGTGTGAAGTTTTTTTTTTTTGTTACCTTGCTAATGTACGGTGAAAAGATTTTTACACGTTCGTGCCAACAATCAAACTTCCGATGGCAAACATGAAGGACGTTTGTTTCCAAAACCTCACTCTATTGTAGGAGAAACCAGTGGTAATGTTATTCCTCCGACTGTAGGCTCACTCCTATCAACTCTTGCCAGTCATGGCGCTTCACAATTCTATACCACAGATCCTTAGTCTTAGATTCAGAAGCTCTTTCAGACCACACGCTTCAGAATCTCCAAGGTTGCAATTGAATCTAGTTATTAAACAGTTTTGTTTGAAGCAGTTATTGATGAGTAAATCTGGTATGTTTGTAAACAGGTCTGTGGTCCGTCATATGTAATGTCTGTCAAATCACCTCTTCCAGAGAAAGTTCACTTACAAATTGTACCACACCGCAAGAAGTCTTGCGAGATGAACAGATCCTTAAGCACTGAGCAATCACAACCCAAAAAATAGTAGCTTTACTGTCAGCTTTTTGGTTGTACAGATTTAAGGTAGGTGTTGTTTACCTTTGGAGAATTGAATGCATGCACTCTTCAGATTCTCTTGCCAGGCGAGTCTTCATCCAGATACAATTGAAAAAGTGTTTTTCTCATTTGAGTTTTGTGTCTACTCTAGTTCTTTTATTTGTGTTTACTTTGTGTTCTTGGAAAAAGATCTTATTTTCTGACACAGAGTAGCAGACATGCAAGGGTTCCAAGCAGGAAAGACAAACACATGTCTGACAAAGTCAAATAACCAATTTCTCAGTGCGGCTTTAAATAGGAAAGCACGGCCCTGTCAGTGAGTCTGTGGCTTCTGTTCACTCTAAAGGAGGGTTCGATCTCCCAACCCTCTCTCGCCTTTCTTCTCCACCCTTAACTGGAACTATGGGCAGGGTGATCTAACTGTGCCTGTTTTGTACGCAACAGATGAGTCACATGTTCTAACAGAGTTTAACAGTGTGTTCTTGGCGTAGCAGCTCCCTGATCAGGTGTACTGGGATAAACACAGCTGTTAATTGGTAGTTTTCATTTACTTCATCCGTGTACTGGTTTAGCTGATGCACTCAGTGTGTCAGTAAATGAAGAGCATGAGGAAGGCACATTATGCGTTAAAGATACGATAAACAGTAGAATGGATTACCAGCATTGTGGGAAACGAACATCTCCTGTACCTTTCCAGGAAGTCCATGACGGGATGATTTTGGAAATGATCATGAAACAAGCATTGCAAAAGTGCACAAATGAAAGTAGTTACTTTCAAAATTTATAAATAAAACCTATATAATTTCAATATAGGAAAATATATCTAATATTTCATATTATAAAATTATTGTAAAACAAAGATAATTAACCGTATTTCTAGACATTTTTACTCTTTTCAAACTTGATCATTTTGCTTCTGTCAGTATTTCCCCTCGCGTAAAAAGCGCTGGAGCATGCAGCATGCTCTGAAACCCGAAGAGAAGTTCGCAGCGCAAGCGCACTTTTTAGTGACATTGACTTGGTTTACTTTCTACACGTGCATTTGTTATGATTTCCCATGTCGTGTTTGTGGCGAAGTATATGTTCAGTTGCCATAGTCTCTGCATATTACCAAGCCATTCCTTTGTTTTGGCCATCCATCTTCTATACCGCTTATCCTCTTCAGGGTCACGGGGATTCCTGGAGCCTATCCCAGGGAGCATCGGGCACAAGGCGGGGTACACCCTGGACATGGTACCAGTCCATCGCAGGGCACAATCACATACACACACACACACACACACACATTCATACACTACGGACACTTTGGACACGCCAATCAGCCTACCATGCATGTTTTACCATGCTTTTGTTTATGTCTTTTGCCTTGCCCTCTGGATATTATAATCTTCATTAAAGCTCTTAGCTGCAATTGCATCCGTCCTAACCCTCATTACATGACAGCTTCCTTCTAGAAATAAATGCAAAATAATTTCCAGGTAGAATAATAATTGTCGATCATTACATGCTTACGTAAAATATAAAATGTCTAGAAATTAATCGTAACATTTAAACTATTTGGCTAAATGTTTATAGAGGAGATCTAAAATCCAACAGCAGAAGCTATTAACAAACCTGAACCTAGAGAAATCAAACTAAATTCTGTTCAGAGAAATTCTGTGTGCATTTTCTCCAGGTCGGAGTGATGCCCTGCTATGCAATGATGTCCCGTTCAGGGTGTATTCCCACCCTGGGTTTCTTTCCACCTACAAGATGCCAACTTGACCCTACCCTAAATACAAATATGTATGTGTGTGTGTGTGTGTGTGTGTGTGTGTGTGTGTGTGTGTGTTGCCCTTGATGGACTGGCGTCCCAATCAGGATGTGCCCAGGGTGTGCAGAATAAGCTCCAGTGGAACCATGACCAGGATAAAGCATCAAAGGATGATGATAAATTTATTTCCAGTATTTCTGATGATGTTATGCAGACTCTTGTCCTTTTCTCACCCAGGAGCCTTTCCTTAAAGGGGTCATATGATATATTTTATATTTTAAAAGTGCATTATTTTGTTTATTGGGTGTAATAGAATAATAGGCTTTAATGTTCAAAAAGCAAATTTCTGTTCACATACTGTACATTATTGCACTACCTCTATTCAGAGTCTGTCTGAAACGCTCTGCTTGAGTTCTGGTTTCTCCAAAGCCCCTCCTTCCGACAAGCCCAAAGTGCTCTGATTGGCCAGCTGGCCCATTGTGTTGTGATTTGCCAAAAACCTCAAGTGTATGTTGGAAATGTAACGCCCCTTACCATAGTTATGAGCTTCAGCTTACATGGCTTCTAAAGCAATTATAAACACAGTTAATAATGTCGTCAGTTTTACTATATCAGTTCAAGTCCAAGTCAGATTCTGAAAATGGGGATGATCGAGCAGATCAAGCAGAACCAACTTTGCACGACTTGAGCAAAACGTTTCACAGTTTTTAGTTTTTATTGTGTAACTATCTTACCTTTCAGATACAAAGTTATAACAGTTTAATTTGTCTTCTTCACTGTAACTACTTTATGTCCTGAAGTGACAACATAAAATACAGTTTAAAATTTTTTATTAATTACAATTTTTTTTTTAAATTATGGCGGTATCATGCTGATATTTCAAATTGTGATGTAGACATTTGCAAAAGTAATATCTGGACTATGATCGAGGTGTTTTAGGCAGGTCTGGAGCAGTGTGCTCTGTTAGACAGAATGAATCCCTTTGTGGGAGACTATGGGCTTTGTAACTTTGCAGATCTTATACATGCACA